GTGGCGCGAAAGTTGCGACACGAGGAGGTGAGAAAAGCAACGAACATATGCTCTCTGCTTGGTGTAGAAGAGCTGGGAGAGTTTACGAGCGACGAGCGCAAGAGCATCGATGGCTTTGTACGCCAGCAAGCGCAGCGAGTGTGCCTAGTATTAGATGGGCTTGATGAGATCCGCCTTAGCGAGTGCAGTGGCTTTGTTCGTGACATCATCAACGGGTCTAAAGTGAAGGGACTTCGTCTTGTAGTGACGTCACGGCCGTGCGTTGAGCTACTGAGCCTGTGTGACCAAAAGCAGTTTGATCGGCGTGTGGAACTTGTCGGTTTCCGGCAGGAGGATGTAGAGGAGTACATCGGAAAGGTGCTGAGATCAGTGGAAGAAGCATCGGCACTGGTGGCGGCAGTACGGCGTGACCAGAACCTTGCTAGTATGATGGCTACACCGTTCCTGGCCATGCAGACGTGCAAGATCTTCCACTGTCGTAAGCGCACTCTGCCCCGTTGTCTCTCAGATATCTTTGAGATGATGACCATCCAAGTAGCAGAGCGTCACACCGGTGAGTCGTACAAGAATTGGAATGCGATCCCCGCTCGTGTGCGGTCCCTCATCCTGGATCTCGGAAAGTTCTCTTTCCGCATGCTGAGGAAGCAGCAGCTGATATTCACTGATGCTGACCTGGAGGTACGTTCGATTGCCAGGGAAGCAAAGTCACTGGGCCTTCTTGTACTTGCCGACAACAGCAGCAGGGATAAGGACCGGTTATGGATGTTCAGTCATTTGACATTACAAGAGTCTCTGGCTGCTCGCTACGTTGCTGTACACAAGACAAGAACATTGGCACATGTTGTTCACCTGGTTGAGGCACTGGGACCCGAAACCAGCCACTTACGCACGTTCTGGATGCTGCTGACGGCTCAGCTGGATGCGGAGAAGGCTGACTGCTTGATCAACGGTCTACTAACGCGGGTAAAGTCAGAAGAGAGAGACGTGCAAAACTGGGATGGTGACAGTGAGGGTTTGACCGACACGGCGGCATTGGAAACGTTCCCACTGGATATGCTTGAGCCCCTTTGCGCCGGATTAAACTATGCGGAAATACATCGCCTATCGGAAGAGTTGCTATCCGGCCAAATCGACGGACGAAGCGGCAAACAGTACGTAGAAAATCGCAGCCAATACGGTCAATCGTCCACCGGTGAGCAATTCTTGAGTACAATGTTGCTTGCTTGGGTGGAACGCTGCCCGGACGCAACACCTGCTACACTGGCTACTGCTCTCCGACGCATGGGTAAAGAGGTACTCGCACAGTCTCTTACTGCTAACAAGCCAGATAAGCCACTGCTACAGAACAGTCCCTTTCACAACTATATAACGGGGGAGCACTGCAAAAACTTGGATCTCGCCTTGCTGTGCTATGCTGAGTATTCTCATCACCATGGCAACGGCACCCATCACATGTCCAGTATTGCTGCTGCATTGCAGTGCATGGATGTACGGATCAGAGGTACCGGCCATCCTGCACTCTTGCGTGCCTATGATGTAGCCATCAATGTCCACCACAGCAGCGTTAGATCTGTGCACGTCCGTTACCTGCAACCCGGCATCCCAGTGTCATTGCCAGCATCGCTACTGAAGTGCAACAACATCACCAAGCTCGGTATCTGTGTCTGTAGCTGGCAGTGGCAGGAGATTATCTCCGTTATCAAGTCATCACACCTACACCTGGAGAAGATCCGAGTGTTTGATTGTGATTTCAGTGATTCTTCCAATAGCAGTGCAGCATCACACCCAGTCAACACCCAGCCAGCACCGGCTACAAGCAGTGGGGAGGTAACAACGTCAGAACAGGTCACCAGCATCCCCGTACTGCTCCTGGCCAACGCACTTGCTGACGTTCCCTGCCTCCAGGAATTCAACCTCTACAGATGTGCCGGTATTGACGAAGAGGGTCTGCGCGTGATCTGCACAGCACTGCACAGTGCATCACGTCTGTCTGAGGTATGCATTAATCAGACCCACTGGGTACACTGCATCAATATCCTGACAGAAAACCTACACACTGCTTGGCCTTGCTTGACGGAGCTGGACATCGGAGAGTTGGGGAAGCAACTACAGCAGGAGAGCCTAACCAACGATGACGTCACTGCCTTCCTGTATGCCGTCAACAGCCATACCTCACTGCGGAGACTTGAGATCATCGTCAGGATTAGTGGACTGGCCCCCGTGGACGCCTGCAAACGTCTCTTGAGCAAGACCTCCTATAGACCTTCCTTGGACACGGATCTCGTCATAGAACAGTTGTGGTAGTACGGCAGCTATCTTGCCAGTACTGACATCTAATGATGCATAACTAGACACATAGTCGGTAGTAATTCCACATTATCCTGAAACAGTCTACTAGTATGCAGTGACAGATTATGTAAGAGAAGAAAACAATTTAAAACTGTACCAATACAGATTGTGTACCACTAGCAGTACCAGTAGTCCTCGACTGTGTATTCTCTAGGCTTAGTACATGCACAGGTTCACTGTTAGATGCCCTAGGGCTTTCCAGGATCATTATGGGGGTGATTTTTAAAATGTTTCTGCTCAACAAGCCCCCCCCCCCCTTGTGTACACACTGTGCTTCGCAACCCCCTTCCACCCCCCCATCCCCACCTCTCACACACACACACACACACACACACACACACACACACACACACACACACACACACACACACACACACACACACACACACTCACACACACACACACACACACACACACACACACACACACACACACACACACACACCATCATCACTAGCTATCTTGCCGTCAATGTATGTGACTGCCATCATTGTACAATCATGTATAATAATTTGTCCTCCACGTATTTAGTTGCTGATATGTAATCCTATAGCCACTATTCGTATTCCTAGATAAACTGATAGCCAGTCAGTACCGTAGAATCCCGCGTATAAGCCCACCCGCGTATAAGCCCATGCCCGCGCATAAGCCCAGGGTTTGTTCGAACATCACAAAGCTTCATCGTACAAGCCCATGGGCCTATGTCATACCGAGAGTCCATAAATTATGGACTCTTGGCCATACCATGTACGTAGTACATGGACAATAGTTTTTTTTGTACATTTCAGCACAATCATCGGTTGTTTTTGTTTGCACAGTGGTTTTCAGCAATGTACTTCTCACTTCCTTGATACTTTTCAATAGCACAACTTGGTGTCGGCGTATAAGCCCATGCCCGCGTATGAGCCCATGTTCTCGTATAAGCCCACCGAAATGTCCTTGTGAAACAGATAAGCCCATGGGCTTATCCGCGGGATTCTACGGCATATGTTTTGTAGCTCCCATCTTATAATCCACCCTCACATATCCGCTCACAATCCTATTATACAGTTATCCACACTGCCCCCCCCCCCCCCCCTCCTGCTCTTAGCTAGTATGCTGTTGACAGATACAAGTACAGTGTTGGCAACTGAAATCCAGGGGGTCGGATTTCAGTTGCCAGCACTGTAGTAGTGTGTTTTGTGTTTGTAATTCACAATGCACATATCCTTCAGGTCATTGAGCTATGAGACTAGCAACTGCTGCTATACAGACTGTACATTGATTGTGAACGTCCAGTGTACAATGTAGGCATTCTGTGTGCCCTGTTTTATGTTGGCGTGTTTTGTATATGGGTGTGTCCGGAGAGTGTGACCAGCCTATCTTTGGCCTTGGGCGGGGAGACCAGCTTTGTTGAACTTTGCTTACAGTGTTTGCTCTAGGATTTCAAACCAACCGGGTTCACGTCACGTAGGGTCCAGCGGATATGCCCCGAAAATGTTCGTATAATGCTAATCATAATGCTCCGAAAACTACCTCATAATGCTGATCACAATGCTTCAACAAGGGCTATAATTTGGGGTGTAACGATTATACCGAATACTCGAAATAGAAATCGTTACAAGCTAGCGAATCGATTATTCGAAAAGTTCTGATTAATCGATTGTGCATACAGTATACATGATTATACGCGTATGATTGTAGATCGACAGACGTGCGAGAAAAAATTCTCTTCTCCACAGGATCAATTTTAAAATTCTAAATTTTGAAGTTAATTTCCGCATTTTTCAGCTTTTAATACGGCTTTTATCTGTGGAAGAAATAATCGAAAAATAACCGATAACTGATCGATAAAGGTTTAGGATATTTGATAGTCACAAAGGGTAATCGTTTCACCCCTAGCTATATTGCTCTTGGCTTGGGTTAGAAAGGAAGAAGGGCTGCACGTATTCAATCTGCGGCTGAATCCGGCGGAATATTTTCCTCAAGCTCCACCACCTTGTAGCACTACATGTATAAGAAATAACCGATTCGCCAATGGCTGCTCTCCATTGCAGCTTTGACGCAAGGCTATGGCTGAATAGTGTGCATCATTTACCATTCCGGTATTATCCAGGGAGCGACAGGTGTAAACTACTAGTGGTAGGGATCATTGGGATGAGGTTTATCATGGCAACTGGTAGTCCTGCCTGCAGACAATCTGTCACTGCATTGGTTCTGTGAATAATCTTTTCATCTCCAACAGCAGATATTACGCTGATCTTGGATCCAGATCCCTTCCATTTGCGGTGAGCGTGAAAAAAATATGGCCGGATTATTTTTCTGTTCTACTTCCTTTACTTTTTAAAGTCTTCTTCTCCTGGTGGTGTTGCATAGACAACTAGGTAGCAGCATTGACAAGAATACTCTTCTTTGTTGATAGCACTTGACTCAGTCACTGCTGTCTTAGGAGTACGGCTGTCCACACCTAACTGTGCGTGTTTCATCAATAAACTCAGACACGCGCTGCTGCTGCAGAGTGCTCATAACGACTTGGTGCTGAATCCATGAGTAATTCTAGTTCTTTTCGAGCCAGTTCGGCTGGACACCGCAAAGGCAGTTCGTCGGAACAATATGCATCTTAAAAATGAAAAAAATCTCTTTCTGCTTATAGCCCCCCCCCCCCCCCCCCCCCACCAGCCCGGCCCAACATTTACCAAAGGATGGGCGCCCACCCCATTATCGCTACTAGACTAGTGACGCTATATTTGAGAGCCTGAGGCACAACGAATGACTTCTCTTCGGCTTTTCGATATTCACTTCGCCTCCATGACTCTCTACGTTTCGACAAAACAGTTTCCTCCTTCCAAATCCTTGTTGCAAATTTTTGCAACAGCTTTGGTTGGGCGCATGCACATGTAGATGATTAAGCTGACTACATACATGTTGTCATTGCTACATCAAGTGCTAAAAAGTGTTGCGTGTGACTGTCTAGACAAAGGGATCCACCACCCAGTAACCTGGTAACACGAGAAGGGTTGCACGTACCTCATGAGTGTAGCCGACTGTTCAAAAAGCTGGGATTTCCCGATATTATCCACGATGAAAGTCCAAATGCCGCTCGAATCTCACAAACAAATGCTCTGTGTTCCCTTCTAATGCTCCACAATGCTCTGATGAATAATTTCGTTGATGCCATCTTCAAAATTTAGTAGTGGTAGATTTTTCTTTTGACCAGACGGCTGATGCAGTGCTCGTGCTGGTGTCTGCAAGCGTCGTCCGGTCTCGTCTGTTCAAAAGGAAATTCTACCAATGCCCTGATGCTCCGATAGTCCCGTAATGCCGAATATAATGCCGGCATTATCCGCTTGGACCCTAACCATCATTGGCATAATTCAGGATGTTTTCTTACTTTGTTTTATTTCGCATATCCAAATGGGAATTCCTTCCCAACCTTTCCCCCTAAGAACCGAATAATGCATCATTTCTGTGCATGTGATGCACGGATGGTTGACATCTTGATTTTTAGTTCGCTATTTACCAGTGACCATGAGAGGATCTGAACAATGTCGATTTCGAAGAGGAAAACGAGGATGAGTGGGCAGCTGCGGATGAGGATATGTCCGACTCTGAGAGCAAGGCCGGCCGTAAGACTGCGTCAAAGATAGCCACCACACCAAAGTCTAAAACCGCCGGCAAAGGTAATGATATTGTCCAGGTTTCTATCACAATCTCCTTCTCTACCTCACAAAGCAATGTGGCAATGATGGCCAGCTGCTCTCAGATTGTTGTCAATCATTTGGTCGAGTAGCCGTGTTCCCTTCACAGTATACCAGACTAGTGGAGACGAACATGTACACACACACACACACACACGCCAGTCCTGTCCTGAGCATTGCCGTAAAACGGTCACGTGTCCCCTCATTCGAGCGGTCAACAGACCCACGCACACACCCACACACACACACGTGCGCGCACACACGCACACACACACACACACGGCTAGAACAGTTATGCTAGGTAACATCCGTGTTTCCATCTTTCTGTGTATTTTTTCAAACCTGTTTTTTGTTCTGAAGGTTATGGTGGCATGGCCACAGCAAATCCCTTCCAATTGTCCGGTAGTAGTTCACTAGCATCACCGACAACACCATCAGATCGTGGCGGCAGCTACCTGGATAAGCTTAGTTCAACAACACCGGTATCATCTCGTAAGAGGAAAGCAGAGAAGAGTCCTGCGCCGGCAAGGCGCTAAAGGAAAAGAACGGTACGACAAAGGGAGTTTGCGTGTGTGTGTGTGTGTGTGTATGTGCGCGCGCGCGCACGTGCGTGTGTGTATAGTCGTTTGTGGTTTGTTAGGTGTGGAATGAACTAACTGCAGAGGCGAGCATTTTGAGCGCTGGAGTTAGAGATGGGGGTGGGGGCAGAAAGATAGAGAGAACGATTGTGTAGGCATTCAGTCGAGGCGTTTGGTGAGTTTTGAAAAGATTCCATTGCTGACTTGTGACCGCATGCTCGATCAAAGCGAAATGTTCCGAGGTTTTTGGTTTGTCTGACATCCTCATTCTCATTCGCAGTCCTGGCTCGGTCTTGCTGTCTTTCTTGTGGCATTCCTGTATAAGCAGCGAGTTCTGAGCTGATGTCTTGTTCATCCTGGCTGTCTTGACTGCAGGTACGAAGGGCACAGGCAGTGGCAACAGCAGCACTGCTGGTACAGGCATCTCTTCTCTCCTCCATCTCTGGCAAACCGTCAGCTGGTACGACTACCTCAGTGGCACCTGTCCACTCAACGGGTACTACCGAGATGGTGATGGCGATGGCGGCCAAGGGCAAGAAAGGACGGCCGAAAAAGTAGGCGATGGTGTGTGTGCCGTGTGCAGTGCTATGGGCTGGCTGCGGGGTGCTGTGTGATGTGTGCAGTGCTATGGGCTGGCTGCGGGGTGCTGTGTGATGTGTGCAGTGCTATGGGCTGGCTGCGGGGTGCTGTGTGATGTGTGCAGTGCTATGGGCTGGCTGCGGGGTGCTGTGTGATGTGTGCAGTGCTATGGGCTGGCTGCGGGGTGCTGTGTGATGTGTGCAGTGCTATGGGCTGGCTGCGGGGTGCTGTGTGATGTGTGCAGTGCTATGGGCTGGCTGCGGGGTGCTGTGTGATGTGTGCAGTGCTATGCTGTGTACTGTACGTCGTGTGCGGTATGAAGTAGTTCTAGGTACAACTATCCTCCTATTCAAGGATCACTCAGTGTTTGAAACTTGAAGTTACAGCCAAAGCGGCATCCTGTACATTGAGCACTATTTGCATTGAGCATTCTTTCCAGCAGCCGCGGATAGCCCAGGTTGTATTTTTATAGTTCTAGTTGCTTAGACTAGTAAGAGGGTTTTGACTGGTAAACCTCCAGCAAATAAATCTCTCGTGCTTTTCTTTCGTGAGCGAAGCGCTGTGTCCGCCATGGCAAAACAGCTGCCAACGTTTCCACGGGAGGATTTTAGCTGATGAAGCTCTGGATACTTTATCTCGTGCTTTTATTCTCTCTCTCTCTCTCTCTCTCTCTCTCTCTCTCTATCTACTCTCTCTCTCTCTCTCTCTCTCTCTCTCTCTCTCTCTCTCTCTCTCTCTCTCTCTCTCTCTCTCTCTCTCTCTCTCTCTCTCTCTCTGTCTGTTTCTATCTCTCTCTCTCTATCTCTCTCTCTCTATCTCTCTCTCTCTCTCTCTCTCTCTCTCTCTCTCTCTCTCTCTCTCTCTCTCTCTCTCTCTCTCTCTCTCTCTCTCTTCTCTCTCTCTCTGTCTGTTTCTATCTCTCTCTCTCTATCTCTCTCTCTCTATCTCTCTCTCTCTCTCTCTCTCTCTCTCTCTCTCTCTCTCTCTCTCTCTCTCTCTCTCTCACTCTCTCTCTCTCTCTCTCTCTCTCTCTCTCTCTCTCTCTCTGTCTGTTTCTATCTCTCTCTCTCTATCTCTCTCTCTCTATCTCTCTCTCTCTCTCTCTCTCTCTCTCTCTCTCTCTCTCTCTCTCTCTCTCTCTCTCTCTCTCTCTCTCTCTCTCTCTCTCTCTCTCTATCTTCTCATTTAAAAGTAATTCGTTGAGTGTAATTAAATTTGTTTGTGGACATCTGTGTGTGTGTGTGTGTGTGTGTGTGTGTGTGTGTGTGTGTGTGTGTGTGTGTGTGTGTGTGTGTGTGTGTGTGTGTGTGCGTGTGTTTCTTCACTATTTGTTCAGGTGCGTGAGGAAAGGCGAGGAGGCAGCGTTCACCGTGTGGTTCTCTGGTCAGGAAGACGGCTTGAAAGACGAGTTTCCTCATATGTCGGCCAGTGCTCTTCGTGAAGAAGCAGAACGACGCTGGGGTGCTTTGCCCGCTGATGACAAAGAGGTGTGTGCGTGTGTGTGTGTGTGTGTGTGTGTGTGTGTGTGTCTGTGTGTGTGTGTGTGTGTGTGTGTGTGTGTGTGTGTGTGTGTGTGTGTGTGTGTGTGTGTGTGTGTGTGTGTGCGTGTGTGCATCACAGAGCAGTAACTTTTAGAAAGAGGACATGCTGATCAGAACTGCATGCATCGACAGTGTTTGGTGTTCTGTTCTCTGGTCATACTCTTCACTCTGTCTTGTGTTGCAACACTTTACGATAGGGCTAATGTGATTAGACCGAGTAATGATCGCTACAACAACACGATTACCAGGACTTGAATTACCATTATTTGAAACAGTATAATTGGTTAGGGGATATCCAGCATTATCGTGAATTTTCGCGAAACGAAAAAGTTTAGTTAGGACCCTCCCTCCCCCCCCCCCCCCTGAACGAAAAATAGATTGACCTGACAGCAAGAATGCCTTGATGTGTCACATATCAATATTTTTCAAAACTAAACTCCCCTTGACCCACCCACCCATAAACGAAACGTCTCTTCGTGTAAAAGATCGATGATTATGGACGGCCCCTTAGTCTGTATTTTGCATAGGTTGTGTGTTTCTTTCTGGTTCACATTGGAGATGTGAAATGAGTGGAGTTTCTTGTTTCCTTTTGGTATTTTGTTTTCTCTTGTACAGAACCTGACAGCAGAAGCAAAGGCGGCTGCTAAGGCCAAGGCTGGTGCTGTGTTTGGCCGCAAGGCTCCCAGGACATCCACAGCGAATGGTGACCCAGGTCCTGCTGCTGCTGCAGTGTTATCGTCGTCGCCATCACCCCTGGTGACCGACAGTGACCGCTGCTAATGCCAACGGTGACAACGTCTCCGCCGTCACCTCCATCGGCCTCCTTGATGACCGTACTTGTTTGTCACCGCCGGTCAAGCGGTCGCGTGGTGCACGCTTCATAGACAGCGATGATGACGAGGTTGATGATGCAGTGGAGAATGACGGTAGTGCTGCTGCTGCTGCCACAGAACAAGCTGCTCCGGCCGCCAAGCGAGCAAAGCTGCCGGAAGCGAGCACGGCCAACATTGTAGCGCAGTCCACAAAGGCGTCTGCGCAGAAGCTTGCAAACTTCGCGTTCGCCAAGTAATCCACGCCAGCAATGTGCCCCACCAACACTTTATTATCATAACTATTAATTTGTACTTGTATCTCAGGCATTGCAGGCAAGCCTCCTAGAATTCCACCCCCGTTTGCCTAGCCCCCCCCCCCCCCCCCCCGTAGTGTAGCTTAGGCACATGATATCTACTGCGTAGTGGGTAGCGACGTTTGTGAATGTCGTGTTTGCGTGCAGCTTCACCCCCTGCATTAACTATAGCATTGGTGGATTCGTTTTGGTCTTCGGCTTTTTCACCCGAAAAAAAATCGAGTAACCGTTTCCATGCCAACCGGTACTGTTACCTGGAAGTACTCATCTGTAGACAGATGAAATTAGAACGGTCTAGGCCACAAGGCTGCCCCCCCCCCCTTCC